AAGCTGTGGCTGCCCCCTCCCTGGAAGTGTTCAAGGCCAGGTTGGATGGGGCTTTGGGCAACCTGGTCTGGTGGAGGGTGTCCCTGCCCATGGCAGGGGGGTTGGAACTAGATGATCTTTGAAGTCCCTTCCAACCCAAACCATTCTGTGATTCTATGATTAATTTGATCCTGATCAATTCATAGCTGCTGGCACCAATGTTATTTCCTGGTACAACTGGCACATGATTCAGTGAGCTGTATAAAGCCAGGAATAGTGGTAAAGAGCCTAATAACTTGTCGTTAACAGGGAATACGTGTTCTCCCACCCAGATAAAATATCGCAGTCTGACAAGATGATTATTTATGAATGCTTCCTTGTCTACAAAGGGAAGGGGAACAAAATGTTTGCATTCCTTAACTGTACTTTTCATGAGAGGTTTTTTATTTGAACAGGATCGTAGCGCAAGTTATAGTGCCATAAAATCAACAAAGTTGCCTCTCAGCAAGCATCTGAAAAGTCAAAATAACAAAGGAGAGGGGGTAAAACAATTCCTTTCTGAAACGCACCTGTTTCATTTCATGCTTCCTGGTTTCTTTTTTGTGTAAGCTGTGTGCAACTGTATGTAAAGTAAATATTGGCGGGCGTCCAAAATGATTGTAGAAGGATGTGCTGCTATCTGAGGATATTCTCAAGGATCTAAACCAGCTTTGCAACAAGGCGAGTACCGTATTTGCCAGACAGGACAAGGGGGATGCCAAGACATTGAGGACTTCAGCTGGTCTGGGCCCCTGCTGAAGTGGATTGCCATAGCGGTGCCTCGGCCATTCTGAAAAAGCAGGCTCTGATCGACTCGTCTTTTCCTCAGTGGTAGTCATGAGAGAAACTCTGTCTCCCCAGCTACGGTCCTGCCTGTTTTGAAGGGCAGGGGCAGAGATATATGGGAGTTGAACAAAAAAGGTCAATCTGTGTTTTCTCAGATATCTGAAATCCCCATAGTTCTTTCTTTGCCAGACTGATATTACCAGGCAATGAATGTTTTACTGAGTGAGTAATTTCCTAGAGGGATACCAATTTGTTTTTAAGTAGTGTTTTTTGGTTTTATGTGACTGATGTTCTCAGCCATAGGAAACATACTGTACCTGTGAAGTGAATTAAAGAGAGTATTAGGCTAATGAAGACTATATAACGATATTTGTTTTCTTGAGTTACTTTCTTCCATATAAGCTAATTAATAGTCTTCAATCATACTTAAATATAATTTCTCGCAAGTTACTTTTTTCCATATTTTTCTTGCTTAGAAAAACCACAAAACATTGTGGCTGATAATTCCCATTCAGCAGAGCTATTCCTTGTCTTCTAAAAAAGTCTTCTTTTTAGCTTGACTTCTTCATTAAAAAAAAATTGAAAGAATATGAAGTGCTATTTCCTGAATAAATTCTGGCAGTGTTGAATCTTGAATTTTTGATGAGTATCTGGTGAAAAAATCTAACAGTTCCTGTGCAGTGGTGTTTCCATGTAGTGTAGGCAATAGTGGCATTTACTTCTGCTTCTGCATGTGTTCTGAATTCTCATGTTCTCAGATAACTTTTCTAGTGTATTTGTCTGTGTACAGAACCAGTTAAATTGGAAATTAAAGTACAGCTTATCAGTATGTCAGGTACATGTACATTCAGTTTCCATTCTTACACAAATGTGTACTTACATAAAATGCTGTATAATATTTTCTGACTTTAACTAAAAAAAAAAAAAGGTGTTGCTGAATATATAGATGTGGTAGTTGTTGGTGTATTATATTGATGGATAAAATGTCCATTGCATTTGTTTCTTCAAAGGTAAATACCTGTAATTTCTCAAGTTGATGCTTTGGATTGTGGTGTTGTAGTTGAGCTGAATATACTAATTCTTAGTAAGTTACCTAACTAAAGTTTTGTGGGGTTTTGTGAGCAGCTTCCAATTGAAGATTTGTGCAGCCTAACATCCCAGTCACTAACTGTTACGCTGACAGCTGCGGTGCCGGAATCCACAGAGGATGTTCTCTTGAAGGGATTTGCCTTACTGGGGATGGAGGATGAAAGAATTGAAACAGCACAGCAAGTAAGTGATGCTGAATAACCTCCAAGCTGCAGTAATATTCTTCAGAGAATTCTATGAGTTTCTGTGTCTCTTGCCTAGCTTTTGGTGGGTTTGTAGAAGTTTTTGGGCCATTCTCAAGATGCATGAAGAAACTTGGGGGAGAAAAATCCTTGAAGTCGTAGCTCTTAAGTGACAGATACTTTTCCCGTTTCGAGTGGAGTCTTATGTGAGAGTAAGGTGGTGTTGCTCATAATATAGAAGAATGTCATGCACCCTCCTGCCCTTCCTAATGTGACAGCCTTGTTCTTGTGCAAATAAAACCAGATGAAATTGTCTTTCCCATTTTAATTTAGTAGAGGAATAGAACAGAATATTTCAGTTGGAAGGGACCTACAGTGAGGAGTTATAGTTAGTTTCATTGATTAATAATTAAGTTCTAAAACATCTCTGCTTTTTAAAAAAAAGCTCATCTTCATTTGACAGATCTGATTTTGTGTTTGTTTTTTTTTTTTAATTGATTACATGTGATATCTGTGTTGTTCACACCATAAAATCTCTTCTAGTTCTTCTCCTGGTTTGCTCAGGTACAAACACAGATGGATCAAGATGAAGGTGCCAAGTATAGGTACGTGTTTTTCCTCAGTTCCTTTCACTGCAAGCACTTTAAACCTTGAAGGACTTCATCTTGCCCATAGAATGTTAGCATGCATTTGGATTCAGCTGGCAGGGAATAGAGGAATGTGTTGGAACAGCTGAAGCTTTCCAAGGCGGTATTCCCCACTCCCATCCCAAAGACACTTGTGGCATGAGCAGTTAAAAGGGACACAGATTTCATTCTGAATTGCATGGTATATTAAGACAGATTGAAATTAGTTTTGGCTTATAGAGAGGGCTGTAGATAAAGGCAGTCTAAGAGCTTTCATGTGCCTTTTCGGCTGCTGCTGCTATTGAAATGGCATCCTCTGAGGCTGAGACTGTGTAAGCAGATGTGGCTGTGAGTTGTTTCTGTTATCACCATTCAGTTTGCCGGTGACTATGGCTGTGACTTTGTATCTGCATTCCCTGCATACCTTGGCACTTTGCTCAACTCCGGTTTTGAGACTTGGCATTCTCATCTATTTTTGTCTAACTGACCTTTCTGTCAGGCTCAGAAGAGCCCCTTCCTACTGACTTTCGCAGTTTCTTCTCAAGAGTCTGCAGTACAGCTGAATGGCTTAGCCAAATCTGCTGATGGCTTTTACAGATACTGGCCTGTGTTTCAAAGCTTTACAAACTTGCCTTCAGCCACAAACTTGCCTTTGGCCACAAAGAGATACTGCCGTATTCCCATCTTCTGTTTTTGTCTGCTTTTCTTTGGTCTGTCTCTTCCTCTGACGTTTGAGGGTGTGTCTGTTCTTAAAAGCAGAGGTTTAGACATGTACTAAGCCCATGATCAAATCATTAACAACCTAAAAAGAATATCACACTTGCACTTTGTCAGTTGACATGTTCATAATAGCGCACACAGATACTTAAGCATGCCATGGATGCAGAATGGTGTGTAGGATGGCCAATATGTAATTGTTTGCAGGGGGCCAGAGGAGCAGGAGGAAAAGAAGTTGCTTGCCTGTTGTACACTAAAAGGTTGCACATGACTACAGAGAGTTGTGATTTTACTTGTTGCTTTATATGTGGTAAAGTAGTAGAGCTCAGACATTTTAGCTGACATCGAGGAACAATTAATTTTAAATGATGTTTAAGTCAAGCTGAATGCTTGACATATATTTAGTGATCATTTAGAGTTTATATCTGCCTTGAGCCTTAGACGAACTCGGTGACATTAGACACTGGATCTATTTAATTTAAGCCTCTTTCAATCCTCACAGTAAATTTTGAATCCTCTGGATTTCAGCTACTTTAGGAAACTAAAACTAGTTTCTAAATGGAAACTGAAAATTGTATAGAAGACGAGACCCAAATTAACACTCCTGTTGGAAGCAAAGCAGGTAGAATTTGGCTGCTAGCAGTAGCTGCCAGTAGTCACTACGTTTGCACTGTCCATTTATAAAGTATTTGCCTACTCTAGACTAGCTGTGGTGCGTGCTGCTGCTTTCTGGGTAGGCTTACTGTAAGGATTGTCGGGGAAGTGGAGTTACTGTAGTGGCTGTTCTAAACCCTATAGCTCTGTTACTTCTGCGGGTCACAAAACATCTGCTTATTGTGCACTCTTGCTTGATGCAAGCAGTCTTGTATTCCTAGAGAAGGGAAGGTTGTGGCAGTGTCCCTGCAGGCAGCTGCATTTGCGAATACAGAAAGTGAAATTTTACTTCTATTATCTGTCGATTCTTTTTTTTTTTTTTTTTTTTTTTTTTTTCTAGACAGATGAGGGATTACTTGTCTGGCTTTCAGGAGCAGTGTGATGCTATCTTGAATGATGTGAATAGTGCCCTTCAGCACCTGGAGTCACTGCAAAAACAGTATCTTTTTGTGTCCACGAAGACAGGAACGCTGCATGAGGCCTGTGAACAACTTTTGAAAGAGCAGGTAATCTTTGACAGGAGGATTACTGGAAACTTCTAAGATACCGTAAGTGAAAGTTTTTCTCAGGCTGGGAAGACTTGAGAGCTGTGGTGACAGTCCCTCCATTTGCTTTGGACCTTGGTTTTGGTGTGCTTTGCCTGCAGTTAGGGTGTCAGGCTCTGCACAGTAAAATGTTCAGTATGTGTGGATACACACTTTAATCAAGAAGGGATAGCTACCTGAGCGGAGGTTTTGTAACTGATGCCTGACAAGTACAAACTTTATTGAGATTAATAATTCATATGACTTACAGAAGTATTTTGAGCTGGTTATTGCAAGAAGAAAGATTTTTTTTTTTAAAGTTATGAGCTTATTTCCCAAGTTCTTTTTTTTCTCCTCATGAACTGCTCCAACATGATATAATGAACATGTCTTTTTTTAGCATGACAGGATAAGGGAGAACTTTCAAAGGCTCTAATCCTGAAATACAGGATTTCTACAGTTCTCTGTAATACTGATGACAGCATTGCTGTTTGTATGCAGTACTGTCTGTGGAATGCTGACAAACCTGTAGAATCTATATTTTTAAATACACTATTGAGAGTAATGTGTCTTTCTCTGGTAAGAGAGAGCAAGCGAGCACTGCTGGATTCTGCATCTTTTGTTGTACTTACTTAGTTGCAAGTTATCCAGAACTAGTTAACACTGGTGAGAGCTGAGAGCTGAAAGAGAGGCTGAATAATTTTTTTTTCTCTATATATATAAAACCTACTTGCTAGGTTGTTGATTTTCTCTTATTTATTGTTTTTTAATAGTCAGAACTTGTTGACCTGGCTGAAAACATCCAGCAGAAACTTTCTTATTTTAATGAGCTGGAAAACATCAACACAGTAAGTATTATTTCACTGTTAATAGTCTTCGAAAATGAAATTGTACCAATCTTTTGAACTTTGTCACCAATGCAAAGTTACTTGGGTTCCTTACAATGATGATTTGTCTTGTTTTCCAAAGAAATTGAATTCCCCTACGCTGTCTGTGAACAGTGAAGGATTCATTCCCATGCTGGCTAAGCTTGATGATTGTATTGCGTATATTTCATCGCATGTAAGTAATTCTGTATTGGTTTTAGTTAAATCTTAATATGTTAAAAATGATGTATGCGTTCTGTTTTTATGGTGGTGTTTTCCCTATAAAATGTTCTCTTTGCCAAATATAGTAAAAAAGCAAAGATGGTGGTTTATAAACTTAAGAAGTTTTTACTGAATATATTTAATATGCTGCTTAATTTTTATAAAACACTGCTTTTAGTTTGTACAAACTAGCATTTCTAGCTAGTAAAAAGAATATTTTAAGTTTTGATAATTTTTTTACTCTTATTGTTCGTATTTAAAATGCATTTTTTTATTTTTTTCAGCCAAATTTTAAAGACTACCCAGTATATTTGATTAAGTTTAAACAATGCCTTTCTAAAGCTATGCACCTTATCAAGACATACACTGTGAATACATTACAGAACCTCACAAGCCAGTTAATGAAAAGGGTAAGGTGAATCAGTAAGTGGTAACTTGAGCTGTACTGTCTATTATAACACTATAAAGACTGAATGTAGCTTTTTTTTTTTTTTTTTTTGGAGGGTGGGAGGTGTATTTTGTGTGAAAATAAGTCAGTCCTATACCACAGTGTTTCTGTAGATTGACCAAGTTTCAGACAAATCTCACAGAGACTTAGTGATCCAAAAGATTTAAAAATAGTAGTAATTTAAAAATCTTGGAGGATTTTTAAATTGAAGGAGGTGAGGTAGGTGAACAGTACCCTCAGTGAAGGCCAGGGATGGATAAAAGACTGAGTTAGAGAGGCAGCAACCGGCTGGCCAGACACATGCTTTCCTGAACCACTGTGCTCACTGTAGCTCTGAATCGACTGCAGCCCGCGCTGCCATCTGTGTTGCCATATGGGGAGGGTGCACAACAGAAATACGGGTACTGGGGGGGTCTGTTTTGGAGGTGGATTGTTAGAGACAGAGAGAGAGGTTGCAGGGAATACTTGAAGAATGAATGCAGGAGCTGGGTGTTGCAGGATGAGAACTGTTAAAGCTCAACAAAACTGAGTTCATGACATGACTCTTTCAGTATTATATTCCAGTAAGTATTTTGGTCATCTAAGTATTTCTTTGTGTAGCTGCAGAGAGTAACTGTGACATGTTCCTACTGGTTTTGGCAGTATCTTTTGGTTAGTTTTAAAATGTTGACAGCGATGTTAGAGAGTTGCAGGAAGAGTTAGATGCTTTACTACTGCTCACGCCAGTGGGGTTTAGGCATAAAGTTAAGCACGGAGATTTTTTGGTCTCATTAAAATGTTAATAGTCTTGTGCCGCAGTATTTTGGTAGAGGAGAAAGGAGAGGGGATTGTCTCTTTCTACTCTATTTCTTTCTCCAATTAATAGTTGTATGCCTTGTGCTCAGTCCTGTTGCAGTCCAGCTTGGTGTCACAAGGGATAACCAGTGAAATTGTTAGTTCTCAATTCTCGCATCTTTCAGACATAAAGGGATTTTTAGACATGTTAATGGAAACTTGCTAAAGGATACTCCTGTATTGAAGATCTTGGTTAAGTGGTGCTGAATATTTTTCGTATTTGGTACAAAATTACTTTTTATTTAAAAAAAGTGTCATAGCTGGGTTTGATACCAATGGATTGCCATGACTGCGCTAAATTGAAGCAGAATTTAACATCTCTGATAAGCATGCCTTGCAGAAAGAAGGGAAACCTCATTTCTGGATTTGAATTGCTGCTTAGCAGTTCTAAGTCAGGAAGGAGACCTCTTTTAGAAGTCACATGACATCCTCCTTCCCACCTACACAGCGTTTTCATGAATGTTTTGCATATTTCTCTGAAACCTCTAATGTCTGCTTCTGGCAGAAGAGCAGTACTGGACTGGTGATCTTCAGTTGTGATCACGTGTTGAGATTTCCTGTTGCAACACAACAAGAGGTTTTGTTGGGACGGGAAAGGGACTGATGAGATATCTAGGTGTTCTTCGTCACTCTTCACATCTGAGTGTTTGGAGATTTTGATCTGTTTTTGTAGAAGGATAATCAGATTGCTCACAGGGATGAAAGCAGGAGGTGGGGAAGGTGGAAGAGTTTTCCTGCTTCCACCATGTTTTGAGGGAAGGCTATCCAGTTCTCTCTGTCATCAGTAGGGATAAGGGGAAGAAAGCCTGGTGGCTAAATTGGGTCTTCGCTCTGCTTCGTTAGTGCTAGAATTTGTCTAATTTCAAGCTGTCTGCCCAGCTAAACTGAGGAGCCACAGGGGGAACTGCCTCAAAACTTGACATTGCAGTTGAAGCTTGAATGCGAGCCGAAACTTAGCTTCTCTGCCCTGGGACTGGCAGAAAAAAGGGAAATTTTGTTCCATTATAATACTACAGATTAAGGAGTAACAATCAGTACTACTGTGGCAGGTCCAGAGAAAATTGCTTTCTCTGGTGGAAAATGCCGTAGTTACTGAAAATGTTGCTTTTGCTCTAGAGACTGTTGGTTGAAACTTTCTGGTTTTGGTTTTGTTTTTCCATCTGGCTTTATCTGAGCTCTGAAACAAGGATGCCTTTCTAGGTGGAAAGTGGCAAAGAGCTGTAGAAGCATAAAGAGCCAGTACCCTGTTTTAGAGCCTAATTATCTCAGCCATTAAATACTAGAAGCCAAATATAGTATCTTCCTTTTTAACCAATTACTCATCTCTTATTTCAGGATCCTTCAGCTGTGCCAAATTCTGACAATGCCTTCACACTGTTTTATGTAAAATTCAGAGCAGCTGCTCCCAAAGTCAGAGTAAGTAGGCTGGTAACTTGCTGTTAAAAAGGAAGCTATGAAAATGGGGTTTGAATTTATTAGTGGCGTGAATGCAAAGATTGCGTTTTGTGCAAGTGTGAATGTCCAAAGATTGCATATTATTTCCATGGAAAAATACTGCAAACTATTTTCCAATTATTAGAAAAAATCATTTACTGGTAATATTTTTTTTTCTTTTTATTGAGTAGACTCTTATTGAACAAGTAGAACAAAGATCTGAAAAAATGCCAGAGTGAGTATGTCTACAGAATTTATTTTCAACAATTGTAAGTTTTGAAAATCTTTACTTTTAAGTATTGTTTAACATATTATTAGTTTAAAAGAAAGTTTTAAAAATTGATACTATGTAGACCTAAAAGAGGGTATTAGAATGAATTTTATGTTTACCAGAAAATCAGCTTCAGGGTGCAGTTACTGTTTTAATTTCTTGGCTAGGTATCAACAAGTTCTCAATGAAATCCATCAATGTTACCTCGACCAGAGGGAGCTTTTGCTTGGTCCAAGTATTGCTAGCACTGTTACAGAATTAACCAGTCAGAACAACAGAGATCACTGTGCTCTGGTAGGTGACAATCATGGGTTATGGGGTTTTTGTTATGTTTTAATCCTCTCCCTCCCCCAAGTAATATGTAGTTACTTAATTCAGTCGTTTACATGCAGAATTGTCACTTTTGTGGTTTTGAATCATTACAATTTTACTAATACTTTCGAGTAGTGCCTGTTTTGTGGAAGATTATTCTGTAAAAGCTCTGCTCTGCTGCAAACCTTGCAAAGGGGTATTTGCAAAAGCAGAAAATGTGATTACTTAAGTTTCATCAGAAACAAAAAGGGACAGAAGTTGCACAGTGAGCTCTTATTTGGTAGTAACGTCTTTTCAGGCCTTTTATAGTTGATCTCAATAATTTTGAATTTCACAAAGCTTCAATTGAATCATAGCTGTAGTAGTAATAATAATGCAATATATAATATAATGACATATAATAATAATATCTGTAATACCTCCTGTGGTACAGATGCAAGGAAAATCATTTAATAATCAAGTATTTGTATTTCTGTGAATACAGGTACGAAGTGGTTGTGCCTTTATGGTCCATGTATGCCAGGATGAACACCAGCTTTACAATGAGTTCTTCACAAAACCAACACCAAAACTGGAGTAGGTGGTACATGCTGGTTTTGGTTTACTGCATGTTGTCTTTATTATGCAGTGATAGAGCAGACAATGTTGTATGGCAAATAGGGTTGTATTGCAGTGGTTTGGTAAGAACCAGCAAATAATCACTTTAGGTATCAGAATTTGATGTTCTTCTGGTTTTTTTGCTTCAAGCGAAGCTGATAGTTTACATTTTCTGTAAATAATCTGAGTAATGTAAATGCTCTGTAGATGGACTGAAAGAGGTAAAGACACACAGTGGCTTTGGAAATAGCTGTAGAAGTTTACAGCGCTGCAGCTTTCAGCTGTTTTTGTGCTTCCTCTATGCCAATGGTTTGTACAGTCAGTTGCAGAAGTGTAAAATTCAGCTGATGAACTCCAGCCATTTTTCATCAAGGATTTAGAGTTAGTGAGCTGCCCTGTCTTTCTCTTTTCTGAGAAATTGAGGTCTTGTGTGGGACATGCTCAAGATTTGAGGTGACCTAACTAAATTCGCTAAAGAACCAATTTTAGCTATCTCAGTGCAAATCCTGAAGTAAACATCCCTAATTGAAATCAGTGTAAAATGTTGCACAGACAGAAATTTTGTCACTATTGCTCTTCACACTGAGAATGAGAACAGACTTCTGATTATTTTTGAATCTTGATGGTAGTTACCTCCTTTCGTAAGAACTTGCTTCCCTTTTTTGCTTGCATCTAAATAAAATATTTTGAGGAAAATGTTTCAGATAGTAACTACTTTGTTAGGTTTTTTTTTTTAGCTGCATAATAAATAGCCTCATTTTTTTCTGAAGTGTTGAGGTGCTCTGAAGACATAATAGCTAGTTGTCTATGTACAGATAAGAGTTTACAAAAAATCTAGCCAAGAGTGGAGATCTGAGGTTGAGTGTTGTATTTAATAATAAGGCTGTTGACACTTTCTCCTTTGTTTCTACTTTTAACATGGAGAGTTACTGTTTTATTGAGTTACTTATAAAGCTATAGAATGCAAAAGAAGAGAGACATTCAAAATGGTTCTTCTGTCAGCATTCTTTTATGAATGTTTTCATTTTTTGTCCACACTCTGAAAGGAACTGAAGAGTACTTGTCCTACTGTCAGACATTCTTCATGAGTTAGGAAAAAAAATAAATACAGTGCAATAAACTCAACAACTGTGCCACACTGTAATACTTAAATATTCTTAGTGTTTATATTTCCAAGTCTAACTGGGGAATTACTTGAATTTTCAGCTACTGGCGACAGCATTATTAGCTAATCTGTGATTAGTGAAGGGAGCACTGAGAATGACAAAAATGTCTAGAATGAATGCTACTGAGGTGTAACCCAAGATACTCATCACTTTGAACAGGAAAAAAATAATAAATTGAAGTAGGATTTTATGTTGGAAGTTGTTACAGAAAAGGTTACCAAGCTTCTCTTCCTGTGTCCCTCTTCATGTGCTCCTGGTTCTAATAAACTATTGAGTACTTGGAATCAGATGAGCCTTTTTTCAAGGGAGAAAAGGGGGTATGACTCTGAGCTCAACAGGAGCATTTCTTTACACAGAAACCAGGTAAACCAGTTTGCAGAATCTTCTCTTTGTGACAGGTTGAGTTGTTGGTTGGTTTTTTGGGTATTTTTAAAATTTATTTATTTTTAAAATAATTCAAAACTGTACCACCATTTTAAGCAGTTGGTATCCTATATCTTTACATCAGGGGTTCATGTTTTAAACAGTCCTTTCTTAAGTCTTCTGTGATACTGTATTGCATTGTTTTTGCACCTGCCTTTAAAAGCTCTTTGCTGTAAAATAATCTATGTTTGTGATAAAATTTTATTTTGGTATTGCGGGATCCTGAAAGTGTTGTGCTTTGGTTTATTTTTTTTTTCCTAGTGAACTCTTGGAGAAGTTGTGTCTTTCATTGTATGATGTCCTAAGGCCAATGATCATCCATGTCATTCACTTGGAGACACTTTCTGAACTCTGCGGGATTCTCAAAAATGAAATGCTTGAAGATCATGTACAGAACAATGGTAACTCATAGATGGAACCTGATTGTTTTTAAATGTTATCTTAACTGATAAAATTCTGAAATTGCATAGGCAAAAAAATTCTTAGTTTTTTTTTTATCTAATGGATCTTAAATATGTCAAAGATGAGGTAAGGTTATTTTAAATAAATTAGATTTTTCTCATTTATAATAGGTCCATATTTATGGGTTTGTGGATATCTTCATTTAAATTAATGTACTGGTGTTAGAGAGTCCTGTTTTCTCTGGATTGTATAAATGCAAGCAAGCATCCACCGAGTGTGTGGACATGCACAAGGTTTGATTTAAATGAACTTTTCAAATTGAAGTAATTGCTTTCCTTGGCCCTGCTAAGGCATCATCTGTGTAGAGCTTTCTGCATACATGATGATAAAACAAAGGAAAGCAAATCTGATTTTTTTCATTGTCCTTGATGAAGTGTTTCCCAGACTAGAAATTGTAACTTCAGCAGAGGAGTTATGTAGCTGGTAGAGATTTTGGAGTTTTGGAAGTGTTCAAAGCTCCTAGTCTCGGAGAAGTGAGCTGATCATCAGAAAAAAAAATTTGGTATCTCATTTCCTTAGTATGACCAACGTGTAATGGAATCATTTCACAGTCTTACCCTTGCACCAAGCGATAAAGAGAAATCATACTTGGTAGCTGGTACATAAAACAGTGTAGCTCTTTGTGCCAATATCATGAGAAATTGCTCATTTTCCTGGTAGTAGAATTATAACGTTGTTGGGAATGAGGAAGAAAAACGGTGACATAATCTTTCAGCTAATCTTCAGAAGTGATTTTCTGCTGCTTAAACTCAGGTTGATATAATAGTTCTTAAGTTGGACATGAACTGCGTTGTATTATCTGTTCTGGTAGGTCGGTAGATGAGTTATCTTGTCAATTCCTGATAGTCACACTGCAGGCACTGGCTATGATGGATCTAAACCACCTTGGTTTGGTGTCCGGGCAGAAATGCCGCTTGGCATACACAGGTCTCAAATAATTAGAATGCTTAATTCTAAAGATGGTGCCTGATGTTATCAGTGTGAGATCGCTTTTTCACAATCTAATGAAAATTTGGGGAGGTGAAGCGACTGCAATATGGAGTTCAGTAATTCCTTGTTTGTCACAAATTTGTCTCATTCCGCTGTTCCAAAAATAGTCTGACTTCATCTGCAGCAAGCCAATTTTGTGATGGTTCTATATGTGATACTTCAAACTTTTGTGTCTATAAGCTTGTTTTGCAATTAAATTAACAAATTTGTGCCTTTTTTTTACCTTTGTCAGCTGAACAACTGGGTGCGTTTGCAGCTGGTGTCAAGCAGATGTTAGAAGACGTACAAGAGCGTCTTGTCTATAGGACGCATATTTACATTCAGACTGATATCACAGGCTATAAGCCTGCTCCGGGTGATCTTGCATATCCTGATAAGTTGGAAATGATGGAGGTAGAGCATCAGCTTTTTTATTGTCCTTGATTGTTTTTCTTTTTATATGCAGTATATACAATTATGCAGTATAGTCCTTTGCAGATGGAGTTTTCCAGTTCTTAGGTGTATTTAGTATTACTGGCACTATTAAATTGGCACCTGCTGATTAA